ACCTTGTCAAGTCGCTCTTGGTTAGTCCTCAAAAATTTGTTCTCGGTGGTCCTCCATAGCCGTTACTCGGATACCCTCCTCCATAGCTAGCTGCTGCCTGCTGGTCAGCTGCAGACGAAACCGAAGTAGAGTTGCCAATCACTGGTCAGCTGCAGACGAAACCATCGGTCTTCTTTAGGATCAATATGGTGCCTCAATCTGACCCAGAACTGCATTTGCAATTTCGGTGGTCTTCCTTTGCCAACAGGCTTAGGTACATGCATCAACTTGTGTTGCACGATCTGGTTGATGTCCAAGTATCTTCCATGGTTGGGGGCATTATTGACCTCTTCGAAGAAAACAGATTTGTGTGAACGAAAGGAGAAAGCTTGGACGCATGGAAGACTGGGTAAGTGCATAGATGGGGGGGTACACGGATCACATAGGAAGGACCATCGGGATCTCAAGCCATGATGTCAAGGACTTCCAGTGGTCCAAGGTAATGTAGCATTAGGTTGCGTGAGATGTCTATCTCGGGTGTGAATTCTGATGACTTGACCCATACCCTTTCTCTCACCGGAAACTTGACTCTCTTCTATATCTGTTCTCAGATGCAATGATTGCATTTGGAGATTTCTGTATCTTTTCGGTAGCTTACTGCAACATCATTTCGTACTCTATGCTGAACTCAACGCTACCCGGTGCAGCAGTGAGGCTTATGTCAGGAGAGAGAAGTTTAATGATGTCCTTGGCTTCCATCCAAGGTGCAACTGATCCGGTGTCCGGCCAGTTGTACTATACACAACAGTTATTGTACAAATTGGAGATGAGAGGGGCCTTCTGGTATGCACCACATGGGGCCCCTTGGGTCCATATTAGGTTAGAAGGTTAGCCAGATCTTACGGGTCCATTCGTCTCTTTTTCAGAGCCTCAGCAGTCTCCCATTAGCTACAGGCAGTCCCTTCCTCTGGTCCGCATATATCCGACTGCATATGAGGGCTGATGCATGCCCAGTGGCTGTCGACTAGGCCAGGATCAGTGGTGGGCGCCACATTGCAGTTGCCAACTTTGCCATGAGCGCCATATTGCAGTTGCCAACTTTGCCATGGGCTTAGACATCGACAAAAGCCTATGAAGAAAGTCGTTCGTGACGATACCAAGAAGGGATGAGAGAGAGAAAAAGAGAGAAAAAAGAGAGAGAGAAAGAGAGAAGGAAGAGAGAGAAAGAATCAAGTCAACACACTAGTTCAGAAAACCCGAGCACGACAGGATGGATATTCATAATAAACATGAAGGACAACCCATCAGGCTCGAACCAAAGTTGGAGGCGAGCCAATAATATTGTAAAACGCGGCAAGCTATCTGGCGATGGACCCTACATGTTTCATCCCACCGCCAGCACCGGACTCTTCAGGGGTCTTCTTCGTCACAGTCCGATGCTTGAACTAGTGCAGTCGGCGTATAAGTAGGAAAGAAACAGTCGTTAGTCCTTTAGTCAGAGCTACATAGGTCGTCAATTCCTAGTCTCAGTCTGGGTCGGGCCCTACCCGTCCCTTCAGACCCTTCATCCACTGGTCACAGCACTGGACCGTCAGGCCCTGAAACTAAAAACCCTCAATGTAACCTTTTATTCCCTGGCCTATCAGGTTTCCAGAATCCAGGTCCACTTTTTCCCCCTCAATGAAGGCGGGCCTGAGAAAATCACGAGGGGCCCGTTGTTGTCAATTTTGCATTTGGGGTTCAAGCAGTTGGGTCGCGTCAGTTGGTTGGAAGAACCCAGGCCACGGCCAGCCACACTTTGTTTGGGCCTTCTCGGCCTTTCATGGAAGCAGGCCCTGGGCCGCATCTGCAGCAGTATACACGACCGGCAGCTGTGAGGCATAACCAACCGGGGCCCAGGGCAGTAGCGGCAAAGGCCCAGCCACCCGGGGCCTACAGGAAGCTTCTGGGCATAGGCCCAGCCCGGCCAGGCCGCAGGCCAGGCCGAGCTCTTTCCATATAGGAAAGTGCTCGCAGCCTGGGTATTCATTCAGGCACTTGCCATTCATGCGGCAGCGCTGCTTGAGCGAGTGCTCGCTTGTTGTAGGCTGCGCTAGGCAAGGTGCTCGTGCACGTGCGGTCGTGTGTGAAGAGGGCGCTGCTAAGGGCAGCGCCATAGCTCGGCTTCCATAGTCGGCTGGGCTTGGGGGAACAGCAAGGGGTAGTGGTGGTCTTCGTGCAAGAGGGAGAAGACGTGGGTGATAGACAAGGGAGAGAGAGTGAGAGGGAGAGATAAGGATGGTGGCGTGAGGGCACATACCTGGTTTTGGCGATGGTCTGCATGGGGCGACATCTTCATGTACTTCGGTGGCTGCTGACATCAACAGTTGCATTGTCAACTCGTGGGCAGGAAGTAGTTGTGTGATAGTAGTTTGGGCGCTGAGCGCCAAGTAGGAGGAAGGGCTCTGGATATGTATGTGGGCGATGGCGAGAGTAATCTCTCATTGACACTCGGATTCAGTGTTTCGGTTCTCCATTGGTGTAATATTTGGTGCAATTATGCTTTTTGGACATTTGAGGCATAAATCTTGTTTGGTCCATATGGATGAGGTGACCCATGTGCGGGAGAAGGCAGTTGCACAACGCTTTGGCGACCATTTTGTAGGGCAGCGGTAAGAGTGTAATTGGACGGTAGTTCCGCACCTCCGCATGGTCCCCTTTTTGTACAACAGGGTTGTCACGCCCTGCCCCATCAGGTCCCCGAATCGCCCTTCTTGCTGAACCGCATGGATGTAGAGCATGAGAACTTTCCTTAGGAGGTCCCAGTAATGCACCCAGAATTCCTTCGGAAATGCGTCCACGCCGGGAGTTTTTTCATCCTCCATTCCTGTTACCGCTGTGTAGATCTTGTGCTCAGTAAGAGGAGTGTCAAGCTGTTGCCTTTGGGTCTGGGTGAGCAGGGCGGTGAGTGTGTGAAGGAGGGTGTCTCTGGCTGCTCCTAGCTCTTGGGACGTCCACTGCACTGTTTCAGAGGTAAAAAGATTTTGGTAGTATCGAGCGGCGTAATCCACTATTGAGTATGGATCAGTGGCGTCTCTTTGGTGCGGGTCGAACGGGTGGAGGAGGGATGGTACCACCTGCTGTCTTGCCTTGCTTTTTGCCTTAGCAAAGAATGCTGAAGACATAGTACCTTCTTTGTCCACTTTCTTGATTCTTGCCTAAATCCTTCAGCCTTGTGCTCGGTGATCCAAATAGGCCGGGAGGTGATCCCTGGCTTCTTGGAGGAAAGCAAAGGTCTGTGGATCTAGTGGGCTGTCCATGACTTGGCGGTCCCATTGTTCTAATGAGTGCAACAGTTTGTCAATGGCCGCCTTACGCTGTTGCGCATGCATGATCGAGAACCTTTGATACCTTCCCTCAGGTTGACGATACCTGCATTAAACCAGTCCACCAGCGAGTCGTGTG